AGGCTTGTTGTGACGAGCCACCTCTGACAATGGAATGCCACCGCTGGTGTATGAGCTCTCCAGCGGCACGTCATGCATATGAGCATGGGCCTCAGACAACAAGCCCCGTGTGTTCTCAGCAATGTGAGGACCTGTCCGACATGTTGCAACCTTGGATGAGCTTTTTTCCCTTTTACTTCGAAAACGCACTGTTTCTCACGAGGCCTGGTCGGACAGAATCTTCTCAATGTCCCTCTTGACATCCAATGCCTTTGTGTAATCCTCACACTTTGCACGCGGCCATAGACAAGCAAATCTGAGAAACATCATGTGAGACATAATGATTAAATGTTTCCCACATTGACTGACATTAGACATTATGGTAGGTTATACTGACTGCATGCTTTGAAATGTAGACGGCCTCAGAGTCCAGCGCTGCTCGCTTCTGAGTCTCCAAACGTTGAAGCTGCAGCTTGAGGTTGGGATCCAAGTTCCTCAGCTTCAGCTTGAACATGCCAGCCTATCCAGGTCTGTGCCATCCTCTCCGAAAGCGAAGCAGAGATGAACCTCCTTTTGAAACGTCTGCGACAACAACTTCTGCACATGTTGACTCAGTATGAAGCGGAGCTTGTGATTCAAGGGGCTTATCTTGCAAAAGTCGCATTACACTGTCGGCTTTGTGGGTAGTTGCGGTCTGGCTTAGGACGCGGTCAATCTCTTCTCGGATCTCCGCAATGCGAACCTGGAGCATGCTCACGGCTGTTGCAAAGAAATGACTTCATTTGGATGGCCCTGCCTCTCGAAGGGTGTGCCAGAACTCGTCAGACATGAGGTCGCCATCCACACCCAAGTTACCCAGGTACGACTCAGGGCGCAAATAAGAATCGATCCTGGCGCACCGTGCAAGCAACCCGCCCTATGTCCAGAGCCCATCAATGACTGCAATTACCCGATCTCACCAAGGCAGCTCATCTTAATTCCAAACTTTGCTGACGGAGGCTATCAGATCTCATTGATCACCGCACAAACCACAGGCAGGGACTGAGGATGAAAATCTGATGGCATTGACCTACAGATTCCACGCCAAGCGTCTTTACACCCTTGTGGATCTCATTGAAAAACTTGGAGGCATCCTTGCCAGCCCACGCCAAGATGGTTGTAGGGCCGCCCGGATGGCGATCCATGAACTCTGAGAGGTCATAGACCTCTGAAGAAAGCAAGAGCCCCTAGTAGCGTTCTTGCTCATAGTAACGACACCAGGAGCCCCTAATAGCTTCTTGCTCCTAGTGGCACAGGAAAAGCTCAAAAGCCTTGCAATGAATCAAAAACATCAGTCTAACATCGTAATTATATATTAATCAGAAAGAAGTCCGTCTATGAGTCCCACAAGCCTTTCCATTCAAAGCTACCCAGCAGCTCTCGGGCGTACAGTGACGGTTCACCTGTCCCGGGCAGGCGCTTGGAGATTCGCGCTTCTGCTTTCGAATTGCTCAAGCGCTCGTTGTTTGGCCTCTGACAGAGGGATGTTCTTTGAGATGGCCGAGGTCGATGGCTTGTGCAGAAGCTCTTGCTCTCTGGAAGGCAAAGGCGCTGGAACACTGATGAACTTCTTGCCCTCGATTCAAGGGTTACTCACAAAACAATAGCAGCATGGCACGGGCTATGCCCATGCCCAAAAAGACAGTGGGAATTCAAAAGCGACACTCACAAAAGGCCTCATGCTGCATACTGATGTGCACAGAGAGCTGACTCTGGTCAGAATAGGCCTTGCAGTATAGAAAGCGTGAATGGCCACGAAAAATCGCCTTATGCCCATTGGTTTTGCTGGGGCTTCTACGGCAGAACTTCTGCCCGGTACAACCGTGCCTCAGCGCAGTAGCCACATCCGAAGAATGCGTCGCACTCCGCCGCTGATGTATCGTTCGGCGCCATCAGAAGCGAGGTTTCTTTCAACGGCTGGCGGAAGCGTTTGAGCAAAATTTCTGGAAGAAGGCTATTGGGAAAGTCAGAACAACAAGACGGGCAAAAATTGAAGCAAAACACTATCAAGCACTCAGCTCAGCAGTATGTGCTCTTTTTGTTACCCAGCCTCGTGCTGATGGCCCTTCGCATGCTGCTCCGCGGGTGCAAAAAAGAAACTGAAAAATGACTTGCATGGCCCAGACAGGTTTACAAAACAAACACCAATTGGACGTGAATTGCATTCTCACAGTAATACATATGCTGAGTTTCTTCCGTGCAAGGTGTGCTATACATCAGGCTATGACGTCGCTCTCGCATGGACTCAGAAGCCCACCCACTGGCTCCACATGCAAACAATAGTTGCCCAAAAGCCTTCGAGTCCTCGAATCAAAATAGAAACTCGGTATTCCGTAGAAAATGAGTGCTAAGTTATCATGGAAGCAAAAGAGTGGGGCTCACTACTTGTGTAGACATTGTCGACCTGCTGGGTAGGGGTGGGTCAAAAATGGGTTAGAATGTGGATCAGAACTCAGGGCCTTCTTCTGGCCAACGTCAACTACCAGCAACTAGCCACCAGTGTTTCTCGTGGGTTTCTGGAGCCAGAATTGCTGACTGCAAAAGCAAACGCACACGCGTTCACCATCAGAATGCTACGAGCATGGCAACTTCAAGCTACTTTGGGCTTGTAACAGGATGGCACGTCGGTGCACATCGTCAACAAAACCAACATATTTTGACTACTACATCCCAACCCAGGTCCCTCGAAATGCCGCATAAAATTATCCGGCTTTTCTGAACGAAAGTCTCTGTTGCGTGACGCCAATAGTAATATAAAGAACTTGTGAATCTCAATGGGTTGAGGTATGCTGCCTCCGCCTTCACTGCTTCTCATCAAACTTTCCAGTGACTGCAGCCTGCAAAGCGGCCTGGCATGTTCCCGTATTCCCTTGCTGCTGGCAGAATGAGACCCGGCCTGAACAACCTCTGGAGAGGGGGCTGTGTGCCCAGCCTGCACAGTCTGAAACTCTGTTGAATATCAATCAAGGCCTAAACTGACAAAAAAATCCTCTGCATTATGTCTGGTACTTCTTGAAAGGCTATAATAGGCCTCCTTCAATGCACGGACGACGGCTTCAGCACTAAGTGGCGATACCTGCTGCAAGTTTGGAAAACTGCGGTTCGTGTTCCTCGCAAAACTTCTGACCTCGCGCTTCACCTATTCTCACACTCAGCATTGAGGTTCTTTGGTTTTGCTCTCGCCACCCAAAGTCCATGCCAAATGCAACAACCGCCACTTCAGCAATCGCCTTTGCTTGGTGCAGTGCCGCACCCACCACTTCCGGCGGTGGAGTGCCAGCACCAGGACCAGCCGCCATACGCAAGGCGAAAATTACCTGAGCATTCGTCGAATCCTGATGGCATGGAAACGTTTAAACCGGGGTGAGGCTCTTGTTGGCAACGTGCACTAAGGTCAATTTTCCGAGGCTCCCCCGTTCCTGAAGCAATTGCTACTTCGACAGCAGGCGAAGCAGGAGCGAGCCACCGTAGACTGATGTAGACTGCTTCTGCTTTCAAACCACAGCTCACAGGCACCAAGAAAACCCCCGCCAACACACCAGTGGGCTGCTTGACCCCCACTGCAAGTTTTACTTGTGGTGGTCTTGTCATGCGTAGTCACGTGGTCTATCCGTGCCCTTTATCCTGAATTCCCGCCTCTTCGGGTGACGGCCCAGGGCCGCCTGGCCCGGCCCCTGTGGAGAGTGGTTCGTCCGCTCCTGCTAGACCTTTTTGTACGTCCTGGCATCTTTACTGCTTCCAACTGCCACAAGTGACAAGTGGGACGACCAGTCAAGAAATTTCAGACATCAAATAAAGGGGCAAAAGTGTCCTCTTCTGTTGGTGACCCCACACCAGCAGCGCGCAACGCCCGCAACACATTGCCGCGCGTCACAGGAAGACCTCCAAGCTCTAAGTCCCATGTTCCAAGGCTTCATAGTACAGCATCCTACCATAGGAGACATCATGTTCTTTCAGATAGGGGACACTGCAAAAAATGAAATGCAAGGAAATGCAAAAAAAATTGAAGAAACCCTGGGCAGCCAGTCCAAACAGCATAGAAATAACCCAAATGGCGAGAGCACCATTTGGGCCCCACGTGCTTGCTGCAAACCTGAACCCCTTTGACGCCTACAAGCACGGACATAATAAAACAATAGTACGAAGGAAGTAAAATAAGTGACAAGTGACACACACATGACATTTGGCACTAAATGTTTGTGTGTCCTAAATGGCTTCAAGATCGGGAAGGGCAAGCCTGGGAGCGAAAGAGGTGGGGGAAAGTCCACCACGACACAAGACCAAGTGCATTTATAAGTGGCTATATATATATATTTATTTTTTGTATAGAAAGAAAGAGAGAGAGAGAGAGAGAGAGAAATATGATTTTACATATCGTTCTTCTCGTTAGTCCTGTGCTTTCCCTTTGTGCTCTGCCCTGTCTTAGTGCAGCGCATGCTCTTCACCACAGAGACTGCCCCGTCCAAACAGGCCCTCCACGTAACAAGCCCCAACACACACACACACAAAAAATTACAGACTATCCAACGCAAGGTCACATACCCTAACCTACAACATGCAACTCACATCAACTCACCAAATATCCAACTGACCACGCAACGCCACCCCTTCCACCCACCCAAACAGACGAACAACAAACAGCCGACCAACGAAAAACACCACGCCTGCAAAACGCCCATCATGTCACCATGCCAGAACAACTGGATCACAACGTTAGCTAAAACATGCTCCGCCGGCGGCCCCAAAAACGAGGGCCAAAAATGCTGTAGAGTCCGGGGTCGCCACAGTAGGCCTTCCCAGTACAGAAGTAAACCAGCCGGCCCCCGGCAACAACCAGCCTTATCTTCTGAAAACACGGACTCACAGTCCAAAAAGGGCACCACAAAAACACAGAGCACACATAGGCAACACAGAGTGGAAGGACAACAAAGGGAGAGGGAAGGAGAGAAATGGAGTCGGAAAGGGTGGACAATATACCAAGAAATGTCAATCTTCTCCACCCGAAAGGAAAAGAAAAGAAAGAAAGAGAAAATGGAACGTAAGTGAAAGAGCAGGAAGAGGGACGCGGGAGGAGTGGAGGAGAGGGCAGGAGGCAATTGTCAGATTAACATATACCTTCCGTAACCCACGCAATTCAAATAGAATATATGGAAAGGCGGGGAAGGAGAAAGGGAAAGAGGGGTGAGGAGCAGAAAGGAGAAAGAACAGGAGGAAATAGTAGTTTAGTTTAGTTTAGTAACTATTTATATATATCGTATGTATCCCGCGCACCTTAAGTGGAAGTGGAAGATATGGAAAGGAGGACGGGGGAAAGCATCCCCTTACTAGCCTGCTGCAACCCTGGTCGCGAGGGGATGCCCTCGGATGTGACCATCCTTCCGGTTGCGGGGCCCGAAGGTGCCGCTGAAGTGGGCGGCCTTGGGCTCAATCTCCATCGAAGCTGTAGGTGAAGATTTGGAAATTCCGCCTTTGAATCATCCACATGGAGCCTGACCACGGCAGTGTCCAGTTCCTGCAGTTTGCAAGGCAAACCTCCGGGACCTTCAGGAGAACAAACTCCGCGCCAGGGTCGGAGGTTGAAGGAAAATACAAAAAAGGTGCCTTGAGTTGGGAGTTCGCCCCACTGGTCTGTGCGGAAGCCGACGCCTCTCGTCGGCGCGTCTCACGGCGGCAATCTCCTTCTTGGAGAGAGTAAATTAGGTGACGGTCTCTGCGCACCGCCCACTTCCAAAAGATCCCAATCAAAAGGGTTGGACATGGCAGTGCGACAAGCGCACAGAAAGCCGCAGAAGGTTACCAGGCTACCCCAAAAATTTCCTGGCACTGTGGTGCCACTTCACATTTTGGCTAATGAAATGTATTCAGTAAACATTTCATTACACGCTCTCCGCATGCTCCAAGCACGTATCAATAAGAAGTTAGGCCCCCTGTCAGCCCATATACTTGTAGGAAATGTGGCCCATCAAATAGGTGGAAAAGAACCTTCAGGGATAGCTGCCTTCTTCAAAGTACTTTCATATACGGATGCCAATATTTCAGTAGCAGTACAACTTAAAAGGGAAGGAAGCAGGTCTCAACTTTCACCTGCCTGCAGCACGCAATGCTGTTCCAAGCACCTCAGGCGGTGCTTGGCCAGCAGCAGGGCCTGCAATTTGCAGCAGAGCCCGCACCACCTTCAAGTTAAGAGAAAAAAGTGAAGTAAACAAATGAAGAATCGATGAGTGCAATGCTGAATACCTCCAGAGGTGCAATAAGGTCCTATAGCAGAATTATCTATTCTTATCTTGGACAAAGCACCGTCAAAGCATCCCAGAAAAATAGGCTCCATTGGTGTTCCCTCTTCGCCTCCTCAGGGGTTTGCAAAGCACTTCCTGCAGCTGGTGTTGCACCCGTCGCCGGCGTCGCCCCCGGCAGTTGTGAAGATGTGGGGCCAACACCATAGCCCCCTGGCCCGGGCTGCTGCATGGCAGCCTTCAAAGCATCACCGAGGTCCTCCACAATTGAAAAGGCTTGGATTCTGGATTGCAAATTTCACAGAAACGTGCTGCCGGCTGCTTGCATGTCAAAGATTCAAAAAGATCAACTCCAGTGCCAAAAGCAGAAAAGCTGCTCCTTGGAGGAAGGCTCGGCCACGTCTGGGTTGGCTGCCTGAAGTGCATTTGTTCCGTCATCTGCGTCAAACTTAAGAATGAATGCAATCGTGACCTTCAAGGCTCTCAACACATTCTCCGCGGTGATCTCCAAGCCAGATTTCCTCAATGCAGTGCCCACCACGTCTGCTGGAGGTCGCCCGGCAGAGGGGCCGGCAGTCTGACGGGAGGGCGAAGGCTCAGAGAATTCAAACAAGAACAAACAACAATGAAATACTAATGTCGCTTAATGACTCAATAACTCTTCCGTGATCAGCTCGTCAATCAAACTCAAGCATGAACTACAAGTCGTGCACATTGAAAACAAGAACCTGAAACCATGACGTCGCAGTTGCTTCATCTTGAAACTGCCTGCACCAAGATGCTGATGACCTCTTCTGGCGTACTAGGCCTCAAAAGAGCACTGGGACACTTGCTGGGACTGAGCAAACAAAGCATAAATCTTTGGTTCATGAACTCTGCTGCTCAATCCTGGCGCTTCAACAAGCTTTAAACTGAGAGTCTTTGGAATGGAAGCCGCCGCCGCATCAGGTCCTCCTGAGCTAGATCCATACTGTGATCAAGAAACTACACGTTCTCCTCTGTCCTGCAACATCTGCTTGGGACAAGTCAGGCATGCCGTCCGTTGCCTGAGTAACACCAATACAAAGGTTGATGTTGAGAAGAAAGTGGCACAGCTCGCGGCTGCTTGAAGTGCCACCGCCACTTGGGCAGCAGTAGGAGCAGCCTCAGCTAATCGATTCAGCACTTTTTCGGTATTGTTGCTCCCAAAAGGCCCTCACACAGGAATAGGATGCCGAGGAGTAGGATCAAAGTTGACTTTGGTTTGAACAATGCAGGCAATGCGCTGCTCAAACAAGAACACTGCAGGACATGAACGGATGTATATAATTCTGATAGATCACAGGGTGTGACGCATCTTGGCTTATGTTCGCAACCCAATAGGCCGCCAACCAACCCAGTGTGTTCTGGTCAGTCAGTCTGAGCATTTGACCCCTCCAAGGGCTGTCTGCAAGGCGCGACGAACGTTGCCGGATGTTGGATCAATGCTCATCGCCTCAAAGGGCAACAAAGACATTAAAAAAGCGGGTCATCACCTCAGAAGTGTCGTCTTGCAATTGCAATGCCCCGATGAATGTGTTCAGCGCCTTGAGCGCAGCCCCCACCACCTCTGGTGGTGGTGATCCTGGCAACACGTTTTCCAAAAATCACTCGACCAGGAAAGGACAAGGCGTCGCCACCTGCACCAGGACCAGCAACATCTAAAAGCCTCTGCACCGCGTCCTCTGGGGTGACCTTCGAGTGAAGTCAGTTTTCAAGTTTCATGTCTCTTTGCGCATCGGACAGGCCCGGACAGGCGGCTGAATTGTTTCAACTGAACATCATGAGAGCCATCTGAGACCGGGTTCTAGGATTTGTCTGAGAAGTGGGCAGCTCCAGGTGCCTTGGAAGATGCCTGAACCAAGTGTGTGGGAGGGTCTGGTGTTGACAGACCCAATTTGTGCGAACCTTCTGCTCGGCAACAGCCTTCCCCTGAGTGCAAAATCAGCGAAATTCATATTACGGAATCATGCCGCCATTGGCGTGTGAATGAGAATCTGCAAGAAAATCAAGCTCCCAGCTGACACCGAGCGCAGAACATCATCTATCTCTCGGCCACCGCTGGACCAAGTTGTAGTCCTTCGGAATTGCGCGAGGCATTGCCAAGGAATACTTCCACTCGCGCGCAAAGTGCGCCACTTGCTCACTTTATAAGGATGAACGCACATGGCCCGAACATGCGACCAGACCCTTCAATCCTCCGCAGTCTGGGCAAAGCTGGTGGTCTCAAGGCCAAGCTTGGGCTTGTAAAAACGCGACCTGTTAGGTTGTAGGCCAACATAGGATGACGTAGGCAAAATTCCACTTGAGCGGGGAAACACGAAAGGTAGAGACGGACCGGGTAGCCGTCGTGACCTTTTCTGGTGGGGCACCGGTTCCGGCATGGCTAAGGAACGTGTGCAACATCATCTAAGCTTCCAACATCATCTACAGGCATTATCTATTTGGCCTAAGTTAGAAGAAAGGCTGCTCAAAGACTCAGTAGGCGGGTGATGCTGGTGAAGGGGGGAAGCCCGCGGGGGAGTGGGTGATTCTGGTGGCGCGGGGTGATGCAGTCAGATTGCGCGACACGGCTTTGCAGAGAGGCTGCGTTGCGTCGACGCTCGTTTGCGTGGAGAAAGTGGTGTGTGTGAAAACAGGCGTGCGTAAAAGTGGCAGTACGTAAATGCTCGCATGTGTACCAGCTATGGTCCCACAGCTGCACGCACGGTGTCAGGATTGCAGGCCTGCACGCGTTGCGTCGAAGCCGCAGTGACCAACCCCTTTGTAAGGATAGTGCTGGAGGGGTGCGGCTGGTACTGCCAGGGATTGACGTCACGCTATGGTAGGTGTGCTGATGGGAAGGGAGCGTAAATAGCTGTGTAGTTTGCTCCATGATGCGGTACGATGTCGCCACGCCAGGGTAAAACGCTGAGTCGAATTGTGCTCCGCGATGCGAGAGGTTTCTCCACGGGGCTTTGCAAAGAGGCTGTGTTGCGTCGATGCTCATAGGTAACCTCATGGCCAGGGTTGTACTGCTGTGACTGCTAGCGCATGACTTCACCGTATGGTGTGTCGATACTGCTGGTGGTGCTGCCGAGGGGGGGACCAAAACAATTGATTTATCAATGAGTCATCACATGGGGAGGGGGTTTAGACATTGATCTACCAATCTTTGGTCCCGAGCGGGCTCTCAAGCTAGCCCCTTTGCTTCGAGAGAACGAAAGGACAATTCCTACGTATCCAAGCCAAGGTTAATATTTTGAGAAGTTTGGGCCATTCTTCACACAGTGCTGCGCCACGAAAGCAGCATTTCCAACCATCCCAGCACCAAGGACCAAAAAATGCAAGAGTAAATCTGGACCCGAGGTAAACATATGCAAATGAGTGGGCAGTCTTTTTGTTTGACAGCAGCTCACAAAAGGTATCCTGGTAAAGACTACCTTGAGTTTGCGTTGAAAATTTACGCTCGGGTGGCTCACAAAAGGTATGTTCATGGTTTCTTCCTGCCCTATTCTGCGTTCCATGGTTCCTTCCTCCTCTGAATTTTGCCCTTGCGCGGCTCGTGAAAGGCATCCTTTGTTTAAACCTCTAAATTTTAACCTTGGGTGGCTCAAAGGTGTGCGATGTTGGAATGGTTTTCCTCAACTGGCTCACACAAGGTGCGCAGCATTGGAATGGCCTCTCTATGCCTGCTCTAACTGTTAACTGACTCTGACTTTTAAAGTCGGGCGGCTATCTCCCTTAAATTTGGCCTGCGGGTGGCCCACACACATTGCATTCTAGGTTGGAATGGCCCCTTCAATTGTCAATTTCGGGTGGGTCACAAAAGGTATGCTACGCTTGAACCTCTCACGAAGGTACGTGCGGGTCACTAACGTCATGTTTAAATAATTTGCATTTAGCAAGTAATCTTTAAACAGAAAGTCCCGATCAAATTGGATATCTATAATCTATTGATCCCCAAAATCAGGTTTGGGAGACATAACAGTCAGAATCCACATTCACAAAATTCAGCTCAATAAATTGAAAGCATGAAGCAAACTCTAGACACTACTGCAAACAACAACAAGCTCATAAAGCACAATGAAATCAAATGAAAGAGGAATGAAAGGAAATGAAAACAAAATGAAGAAAAATCAATCTTGCAAAGCCATGGGTTTTTTAATCAAGAACCATTGTCAAAAGTTTGAGTCTTCCAAACGGTACCCCTTACAAGTGCCAAGGGTTCACAATAAAAAGGAGGTCCTTAAATATAAACCCTCTCCCTACTGGTTTGTTGGGGGCGTTTTCCTTGACATGTCTATTCCACCCTTCTCTTCTAAGTGAAAGAAGGATGTAAGCAAATGAAGGAAAGTCGAAAGTTGTCCAACTTCCAAATCACAGGCTTTCAAAAAAACAATCCCTACGAAAAGTGTCATTCAACAGTCTTGCAAAGGGAACAAAGGCACAATGCAAGCAAATGAAAGCAGAATGAATGCAAATGAAAGCGAATGACAGCAGAATGGTGCAGCAAAGGGAAACAAAACGAGTGCAAAATGAAAGAAAACGTTGTGAACCCCAGGTGACAATTCTGGTGGCTACCCCAAAATCCTCCGGAAAAAATTAGATTTAATTTGGAAAATGTATCTCCTATGTTTATTACGAATCTCACATTATGCCATGTGTTCATGGTCCCTTTCTTCGCTGAAAATACCCTCAGACGGCTCATAAATGGCCTCTTCCAACTAAAAAATGCCACATGCCCGAAGGAAAGGGCCACTTTGCGAGACCCAGAAAGCGCACAACCGAGGGAGCGCATTGCAAATTGCAACTTTGTTTGCTCTATCTTCCTTCCTTCCTTCTTTCCTTCCTTCCTTTCTTACTTCCTTTCCCTGGAGAACCCTTCCAAAAAAATAACAAGCAAAAACAAAAACAAAAAATAATCCTCTAAACATGTTCCTCCTTTTCAGTTTCCATACTCCGGTTTCTGAACAACATTAGCACCCCCCTCCATAAAGTATTGGAGCGGCTGTGTCGCGCCAGGCACAACAGCGCTGCCGCAGCGGAAGCTGTCAAAGGCCGCCGCACTGGCCTTGCAGTTTGTCAGGTGGAACTTTGGGACAACCATCAAAATACATAGTTCATTACTCTGAGACCCTCACATCGCACCAAGAAGTCAAGGAAGTGCAATCTACCAGTTTGAGCTGGAGCACGGGACGTAGGAAAGAATTTCCAAGAAAGGCGTATCGCACGATGGCAACTGTTCCACTTCGTCAGTTTGTCGTGAAAAAAGCGGGCACAACGCCCCCTGACATCTCACAACTTGTAAAAAATCTGTACACCGCAAAGATTTGTTGTTCCAAATTTTGATGGCCACTAGATATCTGCCGGTTTCTGCCCACAACGTATCCATGTTAACGAGTTGGCGGCAATTAAAGTGAGAAGAACAATATATACTGTGAAGTGTACGCTGTACACTTAGGTTCTTGAAGATGAACCTGTTTCATGTCACCCGCAACTCACCTCTCAAGCATGGGAGGGTTCATGTGCGCTGAAAAGGCGCGGCCGTGAGGATCGTCGATCCTCGTGCTTTCTTTTTTCCGACACGGACTTCGTTCGCCGTGCACGACAAGTTCTCATTGGTAGCGGAGCCCCATTCCGGGGCTCCCGCGAACTTTGTGTCTACTTGAACGAGGCCCTGCTTAAGACCTTTGTCACCTTCACTCTGCCGAGCTCTTCTGGCGCCTCGTGGAAGAGACCTTTCGGCTTAGGTTCCACCTCCTGCTGAAGACCTACGGAAGTGACAATGGCAGCAGCGTCCACCGGGACGAAAGAAGTAGAGACACAGAACCTGCGCGACTCCTACGTCCCCTTGTTCTCGAACCAGCCCTCAGAGTACAAAGAGTACAGGAAACGCCATTCTTGTGGTCATCAGCAAACGAGCTGGTGAGTCTGTGCTGAACATCCTTGGAAGCTTCAGCGGCGTGACCTGGAAACTCTTCGAGGACTATCCCGTTGAGGATGTGGAGAAGAGTGACGCCTTCAGCAAAATACTTGAAAAGCTGGACAAGAACTTTGAATATGACGACCGCGTCCTTCTCCCCAACGACTTTGAGGAGTTCTTCAACCTCATTCAGAGGAAGCCTCAGCAGAGTCTCCTGGCCTATGTCACGGAGTTCGACATCTCCTATCGGAAGCTGATGGCACACAATGTTTCACTACCTGGACAAGTCCAAGGATGGCATCTTCTCCGGCGTGCCGCCCTGACCAAGGAGCAACGCCAAATGGTGACTTTGAAAGCTCCAACGCTGGAAAAGCAGGCCGTCATCGATGCGCTCTACCTCCTCTTCGGTCAAGACTATAAAGCGGGTGGTTGGAACAGCGACAGAGATCGGAAGTTCGCCCGCTGGAAAGGTAGAGGCTATGCAGCCTATGAGGATGATGACTATGCCTGGCCGTCCGACACTGCCTGGCCCGATGAGAGTGTCTACTATGAGGCCGATGAATGGGGTCCTGAGGACTACAACCCTGACGAGGACGAATCCTTTGACTATGATGCCATCTACTATGGTGAGGAAGAGCCAACTGAAGACCATGGCGAATCGACTGAGGATCCCTATGAGCTTGCTGAACAGTACGATCATGCCTATGCCACCTACCTTGATGCAAGGCAACGATTCCAGCAGCTCAAATTGGCTCGCGGATACCTTCCAGTGGTCGCCCTCACTGATGGTCAATCCTCTCCTATGGCATCCAGCCCTTCGAACAAAGGCAAGGATCGCAGTCCCTCAAAAGGGAAGTCCAAGAACAAGAACAAGGGCAAGGGCAAGAATGTCATCCGCTATCCACCGAACACTGGTGGCAAGGCAGCTGATCCTCGTGGCCGAGCACAAGCAACGACCTGCCTCAGATGTGGCCAACCTGGTCACTGGGCTGCACAATGCCCGCAGTCGGCTCGATCAAGTTCGACGGCTACCAAACGTCCTGCTCCTGGTCCTACAGAAAGAATGGCCGTCCAGACCGAGCATGCCCTCGTGCTCTTCCAGGACGAGTTCGGTGATGAACGTCCTGATGCCACGATGCTGGATCCTGGTGCCTCAGCATTTCTCAGCGGCTATGGTCCATTCAAGCGATATGTTGACCATCTCAACTCCATGAACTACCCGGTCAACACGATCCGGTTCGCCCGATGCGAACGACAGTTCCACTTTGGCGGAGACGCTTCATCTCAAGCTCGCTGGACCGTGGACCTTCCAGTGATGTTGGATGGCAACTATGGCACGATCCAATGCTATCTGGTGCCCGGAAACACTCCAATGTTGATGGGACGACCTGTCATTGAGGCGCTCCACATGGGCATTGACTTCAGCCAGAAGCAAATCCGATTCGGCCGCTCTCCTTGGCAACCGGTCTTGGTTGGCAAGCATGGTGAATACCTACTCAGCCTCACAGCTGGAATGGAGCATGTGCCGGATCCTACGAAGAGCTTGTTTGCCCTGCACATCGCAGAAGAAGTTCCTGGCAGCCACCTGCACTTGGAAGACTTCAACAACTTGGAACAAGTCTTCGCTGCCGATGAGCAAGTGCCTTCGGACAACAACTTCACCTCAGCCCGACTTCATCGACATGCCCTTCGCACCATGGAGGTACAGCTGACCACCATGATGAACTCCACTGAAGCCTACATCACCAATGAGCTTCATCAGCCTCCTGAGCACAGAAGGTTGTTGTGGGAAGTGTATTGTGGCAAGGCCCGCACGGGCCAGGTCGCTGAAGAACTTGGCATGAAGGCCGAGCGCTTCGCCGAGCGCTTCTCCCTGGAAACTCGTTGGGACTTCAACCTCAAGAGCCACCAGCAACAGTTTCTACAGCGATTGGATGAGGAGGAGCCTGATGAAGTCCTTCTCGCACCTGAATGCAAAGTTTGGTCCCGCATGCAGACTTTGGCATGCAGAACGACGGCTCAACAAGAAGCCCTGGTCGCCCGAAGAGAACATCATCACCGACGACACCTCTGCTTTGCCAAGCAGATCTACCTCCGACAGGCAGCACATGGTCGACACGCTCACTTGGAGCAACCACGACATGCTCTCAGCTGGAACACTCAAGCCTTGAAGGCTCTACCTGGCTACAACGCCGACTTCGACCAATGCCGCTACGGTGCTATGTGCCTCGACGTTGATGGCCTGTGGCGACCTGTCCAAAAGAGCACTCGACTGAGGACCACCAAGAGGACAGTTCTAGAAGCTTTGCAACTTCGCTGCACTCATGATCACCAACATTGTCCCCTCGAAGGAGCAGCTCCTGGTCTTGGCCCTCGAACGACCTACCTAGAAGACTATCAACCTGGCTTTGAAGCTACATTGGCCGCAGCACTCGCTCAGCCTGAACCAGGCCAACTCTGGGACACCGCCTATGCAGTTGATGGTTCCGAGAAGAAGGCAACTGGTCATTTGCTCAAGCTTCAAGCTGAACACCATCAAGATGCTCTACGTGTTGTACAACGCCTGCATCGGAACTTGGGCCACCCTGCACCTGAGGTCTTAGCTGACCTGCTCCTGGCAAGAGGCGCTCATGCATCTGTTGTTTCCGCCGCCAAGGAGTACAAGTGTGTCGCTTGCTTGAAGCACAAGAAGCCAAACCAAGTGGCTCCATCGTCCATGCCACAGCCGAAGAGCTTCAACGACACCATCCAGGCCGACGTCTTCTACCTGAAACCAGGTGATCGGAAGTTCTCCATCCTCAGCATCGTTGATGTTGGCACCAAGTTCATGGCTGCAAGCCTGGTGTTGGAGGAAACCTCTGAGTCTTACTCGAAGGCCCTGGAAAAGGTCTGGCTACGCCACTTTGGACCTCCTCGTGTCTTGGTCACAGATGAAGGAAGACCATGGCTCGGTGGCACCTTTGAAACTTGGACCAGTGCTGTTGGCATTGATCATCAAGTTGCCCCTGGAGAGGCTCATGAAAGACTCGCCCTGGTTGAGCGTCGACACGCTGTTCTTCGACGTGCTTGCGAGGTCTATCTCTCAGACCGCAAGCTGACTGACGCTCATGGAGTGAAAGAAGCCCTGACCTATGTCATTCCGCAACAGAATGCCACTCCTTCAGTTGCTGGATTCACTCCGAGCCAATGGGTGTTGGGTTATCAACCTGAGTTGAGCCACCTTCTGGACTCCAACCTCAACGCTGCACAGCTGGCCGGAAACAACATCACGTTCGAGCAGAACTTGGAACGTTGCACCTCTGCACGTATGGCTCTCACAAGTGCTGATGCTGACTCCAAACTCCGGAGAGCCTTGAGCAGAAAATACCAAGGTCAAAGCTGCATCTTCCGGCTTGGTGAACGTGTTTGGTTCTGGAGAGACGCCCGACAGAGCGCACTCAACAAGATTCGTTGGCTGGGACCCGCTCATGTGGTACTACGTGAAGAAGATCCCGATGCACCTACTGAAGCCACCAAAGTCAACACCTACTGGCTAGCCTACAAGAGCCAACTCATCAGAGCTGCACCTCACCATGTCCGTGGCGACATCCTTGGACCACAACATGTGTTGGACGACTTGCAAGCATCGCTCAACATGGTGCGTCAACTCAAGTCTCGTGGTGTCACTCGATACTACGACCTCCGACGTGTCAACCGACAACAACTTGAAGATGTCGAAGAAGATGAGCAGTATGATGATCCTGACGGACCACTGCATGATGAATCTGAAGAACCACCTCGACATCGACTTCGCTTGGAAGTCCCCGGGGCTCCAACAACCTCGGATCCTGTGGCAGACCTGGACGCCAACGAGTATGAGCCGACTTCACCGGCACACTTGAGCTTTGCACCAACAAGCCCAAGAGCACCTCCATCGCCCATGGCAGGACCACCAGCAGCACAACCTCCTCCTCCTTTGGAGATGCCTACATCACCAGTGACCACCAGGTCCAGATCCAGAGCCCCAACAGTGGCTGAACCCAGTGAAGAGCCGATGATTCCCTCCGGACGTGAGACACCACATCCACCAGCAGAGGCACCACCGCCCCCGGCTCCAAATCCAAGACCTGTCTTGGACCCCACCACTGCCTCCTTGTATGAGACGGTTGATGCAGAGACATTCAGTCAGCGTCGTGCCAGATTCAACCGACAAGAGACGCTCAGCTTTGGACCACTCCGAAGCCTACGGCCACCACCTGCACAACCATATGAACTGCCTACACCATCG